TCTGCTGCCCTCTTGATCAATCATAACATTAAAGTCGATTGGTCACGACGTGACAACCAACTGTATTGTTCCATTATCTCAGGGTGTGTTGCAGTCACATGCGATACCTGCTACGACCCAGGACACAGCACCGACATGTGTCCTAACTTTTTCAATAGAAAGTCGAATCCCAGCAATAAATTTGACCGTCCATCCAGTGCTACGAACACCCATGATAGGAAAGGTCGTCGCTGTGTAGTTTACCAAGGCAAAGAAATTTGCAACAATTTTGGTTCTGGTACCGGTTGCAACAAAGATCCCTGTAATTTTGCACACATGTGCAGCTTGTGCTACACCGCAGATCACAATATAATTCGTTGTTCAAAACGTAATGATAAAAAACAAGCTTGACTGTTGCCTGCTGTTATACCAACTCCTGTGAACAATAAAGCTCTGGAAAAAGAACTGGCTCTATATCCGGATGTTAATTTTGTCAACTATCTTGTGGGTAGCCTCAGAGGAGGTTTTCACACAGGAGTACACCATCCCCCGACATCGTCATTGGTTTGCAAAAATCTTCTCTCTGCTCGTAATCAGCCAGAAATTATTAATGAGGTCAAAAAAGGTTTTCTAATTGGACCGTTTGTCTCACCACCTTTTGAGCACTACCGTTGTAGTCCAATAGGCATTGTGGACAAAAAATACTCCAATAAAAAGCGCCAATAAAAATTGTTGATTTTTCATCACCACATGATGTTGCAGACACACCAAGCATTAATGACTTGATTAATAAGGAGGATTTTTCTCTTTCATATGTGACAATCGGCGATCTGGGAAAGGAGCTAAGTTATGCAAAACTGACATTGCAGATGCTTTCAAACTAATGCCAATTCATGCATCTTTGTGGCATCTCTATGGTATCCATTGGAACGAACAGTTTTACTTTTTTGTTCGCTTGGCCTTTGGATGCCGTTCTAGACCAAAGTTTTTTGACCAACTTTCAACAGCAGTATGTTGGATTGCAGAACACAATTATGGAGTCCAGACAATTTTTCACCTCCTGGATGATTTTCTTACTGTGAACTCTCCTTCATATGATGCAGAACGTACTATGGCTATTCTAACATTGCTATTTCACCGACTTGGGATTCCGCTAGCCAAGCAAAAAACTGTGGGACCTTGTTGTAAACTTGAATATCTCGGGATCGAACTTGACACTAATCATATGCAGGCTCGTCTCCCAGAAGACAAACTTGCACGCATTCGTGAGCTTCTTCAGACTTTTCTCAATCGCAGGACTTGTACAAAACGTGAAATCCTCAGTCTGCTAGGCCATTTGAACTTTGCATGCAGGGTCATAGTTCCTGGTCGTACATTTATCTCCCGACTAATTACCCTATCCAAAGGCGTTAAAAAACTCCATCATCATGTAACAATTACCAACGAAAGTAGACAAGACTTGCATATGTGGAATATACTTCTCTCAGACTGGAATGGAATTTCCATGTTTCTTTACACCAACACAACTTCAACGTCAATGCTTGAGCTTTTCACAGATGCCAGTGGTATTGGTTTTGGGGGCTATTTTCAGGGCCACTGGTTCCAAGACCGATGGACTGATAAACTCTTGCTGGAAAATGATCCATCCCTCTCAATCGCATTCCAAGAACTTCACCCCATTGTGGTAGCATGTATATTGTGGGGAAAACATTGGGCTCGTAAACGCATACTCTTCCATTGTGACAACATGGCAACCGTGCTTATAATAAACAAAGGAAGATCAAAATCGCCAGCAATAATGAATTT